AGAGACCAAAGCTTCTAGAGGTAAATCATGAAAAACGTAGATGCAAGTAATAATAGATGATATGAGAGTTAGGGAAGTAAATGAAAAGGTGGTTTTTGATAGAAATGAGTGGCACAAGAAGATTCAAAACTATAACCTAATATGATTCTTTTTTGGCCTTTCGTATAACTTACCCCAAAGTTATAGAATATAAAGCTTAATTTGTTGTTGTTGTTGTTGTTATAACTTCGTTCTTTGTGCTTTAATGCTTGATTCACTCTGTGTCAAAATTCTTCAATGTTGATACTGTTTCTGTTTGGCAAATGTTTAGGCCTAATAAATTCTTAAATTTTTCTTGAATTATGTGATACAGAGTGAATGATAACAAATCTTGATTCTTTGAGCTCATATGCAGATGCCGCAGTACAAATTGCTAGGCTTGAAAACTAGGTTCCTGCACAAGAAAAGAGCCAAAGTAACTAGAGATTTTTGAGATAGTGCTTGGAGAAAGAAAAAAAAGGGTTCAGTAATACTTCCCTTTGCTCATCTCTACTATGCTTGAAAACTTGTCATGTTTGAGTTACCTTTTTCACTTTTTATTTTTCTGGGTGATTTTATGTAATGGTATAGTTTGCTGCTGCTATGTTACTCGGATTTGAGAGTGAGCATCAGACACAGATATGCATCTAGCAAGGGTGCATTCAATTTTCTTCATAGTTTTTCCTCGTACTCACCACTGGTATTTCATGAAAAATCAAGAATCCGAGCAACATAGCCTGAGTTAAGTTTTCTGAAGGTTTAATTAATTATTATTGCAGAAACGATCCATAGTCTTGTAGTTGTAACCTAATAGCAAGGCTTGATCTATAGTTTTATCCACCTTAAGACGCACGTAATACAACTTTGAATCATTGTAAAATATAAACTGAGTTTTACATACAGTCACCTCTAGCTCTGATCTCAGTTGTTTAGTGCATATGCTTCGATGAAGACTGAATGACTGATTTATTTTGATATACTGGGAAACAGGTTGCAGCTTGATGATGAGCGTCAGCTCAATTCAAGGTATCAAATGCTTTGGATAGACATGAATACTCAAGGGATCTTCACCTCTTAATGAAAATCGATTACTCCCTGACTATGGGAACAGTATTTAAGGTTTCATTCTTCTAAAGTAGGCACAATGCGATGATATAACACAAAAACAATATGAAATAGTCACGAAAATAATAACTTAAAATTTTAGTAAAAATTATCTGAATTCAACAAAAACCAACTGCTTTCCCATGTCTACTACCAAGGCGACAACGCTATGATGCATTTCCATAACCTTGTGCAAAATTTCATCACAAAATGCAATTGTTTCTGCCCAGAAGTACCTTTTCATTAAACCATATCAATTACAATCATTTGATTTCCATGAAGAGTTTGGTAATGAAGCATCTATTAGAAGCTCTCTATGTACACAACTTCACATGTATATAACTGATTTTACCACTCAGAAGCAGTAAGAATTTTTCCTTTTTCCGTAGAGGAAGATGCGGTCTGCCTGCACCATTTATCCAAAACAATGAGAAATGATGAAAATTCAACTCATATGCCCATATAGTGTCAAGAACACAGGACTCTGTACCACTTGTCATGGTTATAAGGGTACTTTAGGGTATAAAAGTTGATAATAAGATATAAGAGTTTACACTAAAGTTGATTATAAGATATAAGAGTTTATATCACATTTCTTTTGTGAGGTTTTTTGTGGGATAAAATTATGAGGTCAAAGGGAGGCTGGGCAATATTTTACAAGTTGGTGTGAATCGTGACAGTTAAGTTGATCTAAGATACAGAAGAGATCATCTTTGTATCTTGAAGTCATGTGAGCCTAAAACTTAAGTCTCGGCTCGTGATACAGTGACTTCTTTAACTCTTCCAATCCATTACATGAAGGTAACTCGGTTTTAGCTTAACATGCTTCCTTAGCCTGCATATAAAAATGCATTTATTGTAATATGTTATGTACATAAGTAACTAAACTAAAATCTGTTATGAGTATTATATTAATTAATATATTTATAATTCAGGTATCATATTAAAAAATTTTAAAATTTGAATATCACATTTGAATATTTTATTATAATTTAAGGATGATTTATAACATTAACAGTTCGGAATAACACTCGCTACTGGTGCTTCCCATCATGGAACTGTGCATTCTTTGAAGATTTGAAAGTTTCCAAAAATTCTTTAGCCTTCTGCATTTCTTGATTCTGCCTTGACTTGTCCCAATTGTGCTCGGTAGCAAGTATTTGGATAATTCGTGGCAATGCACGTTCTGCAGCATCCGTGTTAAAGAAAGCAAGACGAGATCTCCTGGCAATGAAATCAACAGCAGGTTCACAGTACTCGTTTCAAGAACAACATGCGGCCTCGGCATCCAGGTAAGGGTACCCATGGGCAAGCCTCTTACCTAGAGTTTCATTATAAAAATTGAAAAGGCAGTTTTGAAAATTTTAACCAACCAAAATGAAAATAAAAATTGCGTGTTCAAGGCCATAGGCAATATGCAAATGATATAACACCTAAATGAAGGTCCTTGAAACTAAATTTACGTTTATATGTGTCATGTAAAATATTAATAATTTTTATATTTTTATCATATTTTACGTAAAAATTATATATCATAATTTGTGTCAATATAAAAAACACTAAAATATAATTTTTGATTTTTGATAGAAAATTTTTTTTTTTACCAAATATTTTTTTCAAAGTTTTTACCATAGACTTTACAGATATTTACTTGTTAAGATAAATTAAGTATGTGGCATTGATTACATTTTATCAATATAGTAATTGGTAAAAGAGGAAATGTCTATTTATGGTAAATTGATAAACTTCTCAAGTACTCATTATAATTAATTTTTTTTTGGTATGTTGAAATATGCACATTTTAAATTACTTTATAGGCTTCAATTGTTAAATGATTTTTTAATTAAATATTTTATAATTAAGAGGTATGACATCAAGCAAGGTTTTCATCATTATATTTCATAAAAATCAAATAAAATAAAAATATAAAATCTCATTAATTAGTTTAATGATAAAGAGAGATTTTGAGTATTAAAATTTTAGATTCAAATTTTATTATACGTGAATTTAATTATTTAGTTAAGTTTTAATTTATTAATTGATTATATGACAGATGATTATATAAATATAATATTTGATTATGAGTTTATTATAATTATAATTTATTTATAAAAAAAATTAAAAAAAAAAGATGTTGAGGTGATTTAATAAGAAAAGAGACGAAGGTGGGTCCGTAACCCACGTCTTCAAAGAGCCGCGTAAAAAAGAATGCATGGCACGTGACTCTCGGTTCCGTTCCGTGAAGTTTATGAACTTTTTTTTATTCGGCAGTTGGATTCGTTAAAGCCTCTTCGCTGCGTTGGCGCCGCGCATGCATTCGTTACTTTAATTAATGTAGTCTAAGTGGAAACTTCCATTGCACCAAACTTGTAAGGTGCTTGGTTTTTTCCCAAAGTTGACCATTGGCTCGATAAGTCATCCTTTTTTTTTGGCCAATAATAAAGGTTATTGCTTTTTATAAAAGTACCTTAGTTTGAAAATAAAAAAAATTATTAATATTAAAATTTAAATTCTAAATTTATTAAATATTAATTTTTAAATTTATACATTAATCAATTAAATTAAATCACATATGCTATAAGTAGCAGCTGATTATCATGCAACAACATAGCAAAGGTTAAATTCTCTTAAAATACTTTGTATTAAATATGGTATTTCCCTGAAACAGTGATGAGCTGCACAAGAAAAAATCATCCCAATGCCAAGGCCGATTGGGAAATAGTCGTTCGCTGATCTTTCGAACGTTGACAAAATCTTACACATTTCCCTCGTATATCCATTATGTAAAAAGGCCGTTTGAAACACCAAATTATACAGCATGGATTTCACAAAGAACTCAAAGAGATGGGATTTTCCTTCATTTCAAGTCGTTGGAGTTGTTCCAAGATACTTCCACCTTTTCCATTTGCTCTTTCAGTGTCACCGTCAGATAGATAAATAAAAAATCATATCTAAATTTGTGTTATTATTGAATAAAATATTGGTTATTTGTATATTTGTATTATACTTGATAAAAAATTATGTCATAATTTATGTTGATATAATGTCACATAAAAATTATAAAATATATTTTTTATTTTTATTAAATTTATATATAATTTTTGTTAAAATTTAACGTATATTAGTTTTATAATTTTGTTTTATATCATTGTGTTATATTTTCAATTACCTGGTCTAAATGTAAGTATGGCTTACTAGGCACCAAGTGAGGCTGTTTATGAAGCGCTTGGCAGAATTAATCTATTTATTTAATAAAAATTTAATTCAATAAAATAGATATTTTAAATTTTAATTGAAAAAAATTAAAATTTTTAATTGATTATTTTATTTTTATTCAACATTTTATTAACTTTTTAATCTTTAATTTTTGAACAGTTCAAACTCGAATGTTAATTGCTATTTTTGTCATTAATTTTTTTGGGTTAGTCTTGCACGCAACACATGAATTAGATTTTCACCATTAGTCTTTTTCCACAAATGATATAAAATCAACCAAACAGAGACTGAAAATGGTTGGTCTCCGGTTTTAGCAATTGGTCTTACCAATATTAATAGAAAAACATTCTTCGCTTTTGGTCATTTCCACAATGATAGAAAATTAGAGATTCAACCAAACATATGGTAAATGGCCTTTGATGCCTTTATATTCCCTTCTTGACTTGACAATTCTTTTTGGAGCTACTACAATTTCTTTTGTCCTTTTCATATGCAAAATCTGAACAATTATCTCAGTATAGGGCAAGATGTATCTTGTCTAACATGTATAAAATAAAAAATATATATCATATCATAATCCGTATTGATATATCAAACATAAAATATATTTTTTATGTTTTTTTGTTATCATATCATTATATTGTGTTTAAAATTACCATATCTAACATCAATCAATTAAAAATTGCAAGTGAAAACTGCTTCTCTCAGAGCAAATTATCATCACAATATAAATGACAGTATCTAACCTCCATTTAGCTAATCAAAATTTACATACTCAGAAAAACTCTTGAACTTTATCAAACTCCATAAACTATGAACAGCTGGTATCATCCAACAATATAGGTCAGGTTGCATTCTCTTACAATACCTTGTATTAAATATGGTATTTTCCTGAAAAAGTGATGGTCTGCAGAAGAGGGTCCTCCCAATGCCAAGGCCGATTGAGAAATAGCCGTTCGCTGCTCATTTGAACATTCTGTTGATAAAATCTTACATTTCCCACGCATATCTATCATGTAAAAAGGCCGTCTGAAACACTTGGCATGAATTTCACAAAGAACTCAAAGAGACAGGATTTTCCTTCTCTTCAAGTCGTTGGAGTTGTTCCAAGATACTTCCAGCTTTTCTCTTTGCTCTGTCAGTGCCACTTTCAGACAGTTCCTTCAGTGCCTCCTCTGCACCAGATTCCTTGGCTATTTCTAATTGCTCTAAATCACCTGTGCAAAGTGACCACAGTATGGCAGCAGCATTCTCCCGATTACGTGGAGAACCAGTCTGTATAACCTCCATTAAAACAGGAATTGGCTCAACCTGACCAATTGCCACCCTTCCTTCTTGATGGCTTGCAAGAATGGCCAGAATTGCCAGTGCTTCATCCACCATCCCACCTCCAGCATCCTTCAGTAGTCTCATCAATGTTGGCACAATACCAGCCCTAACAGCCCTTGCCTTGTTTCCTTGATAGATTGAAAGATTGAAAATAGCAGTACAAGCATCCTTCTTTCCTCGTGGAGACCCTTCACAAAGCAGCTTTATAAGGGCAGGAATAGCTCCAGCTGCACCTATTGCTACCTTGTTCTCATCTATAAAAGATAAACTGAAAAGGGTTGCAGCAGCATTTTCTCTAGCCTCCATGCTGCCATTTTTCAACACATCTACTATATCAGGTATAGCTCCAGCATTTACGATGGTCCCCTTGTTACTGTCATTGATGGAAAGGTTGAGAAGAGCTGTCACTGCATGCTCCTGGGTTCGAGGATCTGAGGCGGACAATAACTCTACAAGAAGTGGTATGGCTCCTGCCTCAGCAATACACACCCTATTATCTGCATTTCTTTTTGCCAACAACCGGAGTTCACCAGCAGCTGCTCTTTGTTGTTCTGTATTTCCATTTGCCAGTTTTTCTAGTAAAGCAACAATAGCAGCACGATCACAGTCTGATACACTGCTTCCTGGTTTTTTGCTTCTACCTTGATTTTTAGGCAGCTCGACGCCATTGCTCTCACACCACAAAGCTATGAGACTTTTTAAAACATAGTTTGGTGTAAGGGCAGTGTGCAATAGTGTCTGCTGTGTTTTGGGACAGGTCTTGTGCCCTGCATCCAGCCATTTCTGAATACAAGATCTTTCATACGTCTGCAAAAGAAAGCAAAACAATTAAGAATATTGGAACCAACAAGACCAAAATCTTTGAGTTAGTCTTGAATAATATAAAAAAAAAAAGTTACTGATGCATTTTTCCAGTTAACCTGTCCAGTGGAGACAATTACAGGGTCTTTCATCAACTCAAGAGATATTGGGCACCGAAAATCATCAGGGATAACAGGTGATCTATGTTTCATCAAGCCCTTTTCACCCTCAGAGGTGTCAGCTTCAGGATTTTCCATTAGTACATAATCCTTAAGTTTCTTGAAAACTGATGACATCTTCTCAAAGCACTCCCCTGGATCTCCACCACTTGCAATAACCAGTTCATGGAGAGCGAGTGACTCTTTGGTTAGATCATTGATTGTCCTTAGATGCAGCTTATCTGTAAGTCTTTTGAGTATTGCAGGGTCGAGATCTTTTTCTTTCTGTGCTACAGCTAAATCCTGCTCTAGTTGCAAATCCGGTGAGTCTGGTCTTCCTTTTGCTCTTCTGAATTGTGTATGAACAAGTTCAATCTGACAAGAAACAGAACAGGTCAAACAAGTTATCAAAGCTTGGAAAATTATAGATCTATTTATTATAGCCGTAAACTTTTGTCACTATATGCATTTGGCTGAGTCTTTCCCTTTCCTGCATCCAAAAGTTCAATGAGAAAAATACTAAGAAAAGGTCATGCAAGTTGCAAGCACTTGGGAATTTATTTATCGATCGCTCAATTTTAGCTGTTTGTTTTTGTCAAAATATAGTTTTACTTATTCTAAATATGCATGGAACAATTCAAATAAAAAGAAAGACTAAAGATAACAGTTTTATTTTCGGCAAAATTTTCAAGGAAAAGTACCTGCTCTTGAACTTCCTCTGATAGATCGAGTTCACCATAAGGAATCTCATTCAATGCGGCTTCAATGGTTTCTGTCATTTGCAGGAACTTATCTGCTATCAGGTCCTTTTGCAAAGCCTGTGAAGTGTAATGCCAAACTCATCTCAATGACTAACTACTACACGGATATAAAGTATTTGTGAACAATAACATGGCTAATTAGCAGCGAAAATGATTGTTTAAGTTTGAAAAAGATCAACCTTATTTCTACAGATCTAGAAAAAAAAGATGAGCATATGACATTCTAAAACTCTGAGAAATTAGCTCTAATTTGTTTGTGCCCCTTAAAAAGTTTGCATATCAAGTAAAATTATGATCCAAGAAGGATGGAAAAGAGGAGGATTTTATTTTTGTCCGGATCCAACGTGAACAGATTACCATCATGCACAATTCTTAACAAAGAAATGCTCAGTAGGTTTGTTATAACAATATTTAACGGATTTCTGTTGATAACCTCAAAATAAATTCCCAAAATTGACACAGCCAATCCAAAACTACAATTTCTTAAACACTCAAAACACCAAAACTCATATACAAGATAAAATCCACCAGTTTTTCAAATTTAAGAATAAACTTCAAATATTCCTGTGATAGTTTATGGAAAATATAAAAATCCCATAAATTTATATACTCATGACCTGATTCATTAATAGAATCTAGACAAAGCATCAATACCAAAAACACAAGCTTTGAAGAACTACTCATTGCGTATAACATTTTTTGCCGCATAATAACAGAAGGAATATACCATCCAATCTGCAGACCTTATTAAAACAAACAAAAAAAAATGAAAGAAAATTTTGCCAATAATGCACAAAATAAAAAGAGTTATGCTAGACACATGATAACATGATTACAACTTGGTGATTGAAAGAAATTCAATATAGCAGAGAACAACCTTGCACTAAGCTCTCAAATAATACCAATATAACATAATGATGATAAATTTATATCTTGTAATTGATCTTTTATATCTATATCTAGCAATTGGTGTATCCATGTCTGTTTATTTCGTGTGAAAACATGCAAAACACAAAAAATGTCGTTTAACAATTCATGTCAACATGTCAAATACGAAACACTTATTTTGGTTTTTGCCAAACTCATATATGGTTTTTGCTAAAATTTAATTGCCAAACGCAAACACGAAAATTGTTGACTTTGTTCATATAGTATCACCATGTTGTATTTAAAATTGCCTGACCTTAACTGGGTGATTGAATGATCTCATTTAAGTAAGCAGTTCTTAGAAAAATATAAAAGTTTTAACTCATTTAATCTTCCATTAGAGATTGATAATTGATAACATAAGAACCTAACTTAACAAGTATTTTCCTTTGTTTTCTTACTCCAATTTCTTAGAAATCATAGTAATAACAACTTTAACCATAGATTATATTAGTATGATTTAGCATGAGGCAACCACAGGAAAACAAGGATTGCTTAAAATAGAATACTAAAAGCATTCCAAAAAATTGAAGAACAAAATCTATATATACTCATCATTTGACATCATAGAAAACTAAAAACCTTCATCAATACAATCTAAAGACAATCAGTTTACATAATTCAGAAATTCAGCTCAATTTCTCATTTGTATTTTTCCACATAACATCAAAATTTCTCAGAACCAAACAGAAAGTTTTGTCTTTTTTTTTTCAAACCAACATCACATGGCACCATAAAAAAAAAAACAAAAAACAAAAACTTTCCTTTCCATTCACTTTCTTAGCGACCAAACAGATAATTAACAATTTAACACCCAAAAAATTAAAGCAAAAAAATTACCTGATACAACTTGCTTCCTTCATTAACCGATTGAAGAAGCTCTTTAGCAGAATCCAAAGCAACCCTCAGTAGCTCAAACCCATTAATCTCTTCAATTTTTATCATTATCTCTTCATTTCCGTCTCTCAATTCTTCTAACAAAGGACTCAATAACTTGATTCTACGTACCAAATTCCCATGCATTTTCTTACACGAGTTTTTACACTCCGGTAACCCAGCTATCTCCTTCACTAATTCAGCTAGTTGACTCAGTAACCGGCCCTTGGAATCACCCGTTAGAGCCATGATCATTCAAAAACAACAAAAAAATTTATAAAAAAAAATCCTAAATTGACCGTAAAGTTTTGATCTTTCAAGGAAAATAAAAGGTACCCAGAATAGGGAATTGAGTCAAACAAAATGGGTGTTTTTGGAATCTAAGAAAGGGAGGCCATGGAAGCCGGTTCTTACTAGAACAAACAAAGAAAAGAGATAAATTTTTAGAAGTATTTAAGAAGGATGACGAAATTAAAGAATTTTTTTTCTAAATAATTGTGAAAACTGAAAAGGTTGGTTTCAATTAATTAATAATGAGAATAATTCAGTGATTTATTGAGGAAATGATTGCTAAGACTTACTATTTATTTTGTTGTTGAGAGGTTGGGAACGGCGAAGAAGATGAAATATTTTTTATTAAATATTTATTCATTTTGACGAAACTACCCTTCTATTTTTGGGTTGCTTTTATGATAAAAATTATATATTTTAAAAGATGAAATATAATAATAATAGGAGATTTTGTAGGTAAGGGGAAAGTGTTAGAAATAAAAAAAAAATGTTATTATAATTTGACACAATGATTTTATGCTATTATTTTTTAAAAAATAAAATTAAGAGGAAATTCAGAATTTATGAAACTCACCTTTTATTATTTTTAATAAATTACAAGCAAAAATAAATTTTAATTTACCCAATATTTTACTGTTACAAATAAATTTTCCAAAGAAAAAAGTATAAGAATAAAAAAATTTAAACTAAAATTAAATAATTATATAAATTTTATTATTTTATTATAATCAAATAAATCCTCAAATATCCATTTTATCCATCAAACCATTATTAAATAAAAATTAGTTAAACGTCAATATTCAATTTTTGAAAAACTTAATTAAATGAAAATAAATATTTAAAAATTTAATTAAATAAAAATAGATATTTAATAACTCAATTAAATAAAAATAAGATTTAACGGTTTAATTAATTTTAATAAAATAATAAATACTTGCATAATTATTGAATTTTTGTTAAATAATTTTTTTTATATTTAAGCAAAGAAAAAAAATTAGAAATTACAACTTCATTCTTTGTCATTATAAATGTAACACTTCAATATCTTATCAAAACATTTTAAAAATATATTATAATATATATGTAAAGAGTTAAACTTATAATTATAATACTTTTTTTATAAAATAAAATCATGAAAATTTTAAATAAAAACAAATAATTCTTTGCATATTGAATTTAAATTCTCATAAATAGTATCAAAGTAATTATCAATTAGAAAGAACCTAATGCAATTCACGAGTCACTTTTAAAATTTTATGAAAGTTAAATACTATATGATGAGAATTTACTTTAAAATTTTAATATCTAATGTAATCTTAGTTCAATGTGTCTTATATTCAGTTTGACAAAAACATCAAATTTATCGTAAGATTTTATAATATCTTAATTATATATTAAAAATTATAAAAATATACTATATTATATATGTAAATATTTATATTTATAAAATATATTTTATAAAATAAAATAAATATATTTAAATAAAATTATAAAATTTTTAAATCAATAAGATAAGAATCTCCGTAATAAAAACTCAATCGATAGTGTAATATATATTTCAAATGGAGTTGTCTAATGATATTGTTCACTCTATTTTGTCGTTCAAAAAAAATGTGTTTCAATAGGTATGGATAGATACTTGCTTATAAATTATAATTTAATTTTTAATTATTAAATATTAAATCATGTTCCTTTAAATTTTAGCCTTCTAGATGTGAAATGTATGATTGTGGATTCCTACATAGAGCACCATTTGTTGACGTAAGAATTGCTTGACTGATTCTACTATTATGAGATACTTGGCATGATATCCTTCACCATTCTATCATTTGAAAAAAAAAACACCTCAATAAAAATAAATAAATCTTTATTATATTATAAAATAATAAATAAAAAATAATTATATAAAATTTCAACATAAAATGTACAATAACAAAGATTTTTTTCATTCTGTGTCTAAATATATAAATATGTATAGTAATCAACATTTTTCTTAAAAAATAATTAGTAATTTAAATATTAAACTTTTTTATAAGGAAGTATTTAAGGTTAAAATATGTTAATGAAGGGGCAAGACAGTAATTTGAAATAAAACGAGGGCATCCCGTCCGAATAATATGCGTTGGCTTAGCGACTTTGCCATGTCATCGCAACCACAAATGATACGTCGGCTTCCGGCGAATTGACAATCGACGGTCCATATTTATCATGGAGCCGGTTAAAGCCTCGACTTCTATTGGCTCCACTCAAGTTAAAGTTCAATGCTGTTGGCTAAGTTACATAAGCTTCTTTATTTTCGTTTTTTTTTTTATTGAATATTTTAGTTAGCCATGAGTTATATTTTGTATTTTATACTTAAAAATCACAACTCATTAGTTTGATAATTTTCTAATGAAAATGTTATGATACTTCAATAAAGATATCGATTTTTTAATTTAATACTGTTTGAAATTGAATTTTAATTATCAAAATTAAAAATTTAATATTCTATGAATGTATCAAATTATTTTCTGTAAAAATTTTATATTGATGTTATTTTAATTTTTACAATAAAAATAAAAATATAAAAGAGAAAGTAAGAATGAAAAAAAAAAAAAGGCTATGAAATTGGTAAAATGAAGTTTTAGGTTTTAATAAGTGGTAATTTAGTAAATTTTTTATGGAATGATTGAGTAAAAATTCTATAGATTGTAAATTTAGTTTTTAATATATTTGAAGCAATCTTAATGTCAGTCCTAATGTCAAAAAAATAATTTTTAATTTTCAAGTTATAATTTGTAATAAATTATAGCAGTTTAATATTTTAAAAAAATTACAATAATTTGTAACAAATGTGTAAGTATGAAATATTTATTTTCATAGCAAATAATAATTTTTTATTTATTGCCAATGTTATTTCTTTCCCCATTCATCATCTCACTGGGTAGTCAGCCGCGTGAAGCCACCAAACCAATTGCTGACATGTAATTGCTGTGCACGGTCAATGACGCGTAAAATCCAGCCGCGTTGCAGAGAGAATATGCCGGTGCCCTAAACGCGCTACCGTCATGCTGGCATTGAAAATACCAATCAGATGCCGTAACGTGGACGGCAAGAAAATAGACTAAAGTTCTAATTGCGTTTGACAAAATATTAGATTGGTTAACGAATTCACATTGCAGAATATTATTTGGTCCCACTAAACCCTTTATCTGGACCGTTTACAACCATTTCTTTATATATCTTACATATATATATATAATTTTTTAAAAATTCTTTTTGTTGTCTGATTGTGACATATGGAAACAGCCACGTCAACCTACACCAGCCACAGCATTCCCCGTGTTAAAAATTTTACCATCTGGACAATGCAAGGTAAGCATGACTCATTGGCTATGTCAAATGTAATTGCCATTTCTTACGTTTCATCAGCTTTAAATACCATTGGCCCTTTCTCTTTCATCACCTCTTTGAAGTTACCGTCGTTCAAAATTTAAAGAAAATGTTTGATATTCTATTTTTCAATTTTCTTTTCGCCCTTTGATTATTCATCATTTATTTCAAACAATTTTTAGATTTTCTCCCTCCAAGAGACTACGCATAATCAATCAAATTTGAACAACTAAAGTTAAGTTGAAACTTTAACTATTAATTTTTTCACATGATTTATTACATTCCGTTTTTATTAATTATTAATTAAATTTTATTATCACTTTTTTAGAAAAGATCTTTTATCTAAGATTTATATTTTAATTATTAAATTACTAAATCATAAGCTATTATGTTAAATCTATTGAATTTAGGTTTTTTTAAAGACTTTGTATAATTTCTTTTTCTTCAGTAGAATTCAATGAAGAAAATCACGTCATTAGTATATTGTTTGCGATTTAGTAATGTTTCATTTATTTATTTATTTTCATTCTGTAATGAAACACAAGCCAGTTGAAGCATGGTTTCTGCCTTTCAATACAAAAATCTCTAGAGAATTTTTGATTGATCGAAAGAATTCTCCTATTTAAACAACTCAGTTGAAATTTACTGCAATCCTATGTGAAAAAGGAAAATCCAAAATGAATTTGCGATCTCAGATACAGTAAAATCGTTTTAGCCAACTAAGTAAATCTTTTTGTATTCCTTTAAAAGTTGATATATATTTTTTTTTATAAAATTCTTAACAAAGATCTTTTTTTGAGAAAATAATATAATGTTAAGCAAGATTTTTTTAGTTCAATCATCCATTGCTTGTTTTCCTTCTCGTCTGTTGTCAATTCAATCTTTTCTTTTGGCCTTTCCCATTCGCCAATGAATAATCAACACATTAAAACCTTCTTTTTCTACAACCATATTTTTCTCATTGACGAGGGCATGGCATTTTTTTAAAAAAATTTAAAATTCAGCCTATCGTTTACCAAATCGCTTTCTTTATCTTTCATCCAATTTCACTGTTTGTTGCGTGCATAGACTTTCTTTCGTCTGTTTCAAATTCTTTCTTTGAGAAAAAAAAATAATGGCGGGGGCGTTAGTGGCTGGAGCTTTTCTCTCTGCTACCCTTCAAGTTCTGTTCGACAGGATGGCTTCTCAAGAGGTCCTGGACTTCATTCGGGGAAAGAAACTGGAAAAGAGACTGGTGAAGAAACTGAAGCCGGCCCTGATGTCTGTTAAAGCAGTACTGGATGATGCTGAGGACAAGCAGATTACCAACCCAAGTGTGAAAGATTGGGTTGCTGAGCTCAAAGATGCTGTTTATGATACAGATGACCTCCTCGATGAGATTGCTACTGAAGCTCTTCGAAGCAGGTTGGAAGCTGAGGATGAAACCACTTCAACGAAGGTAAGTCGCTTTATCTCTTCTCTCAATCCTTTCAACAGTGACATGGATTCAAAGCTAGAAGAAATCGTTGAGAGAATAGAATATCTAGTCAATCAAAAAGATATCCTCGGTTTGAAAGAATGTAGAAGGGAAAAGTTGTTTCACAGATCACCTGCAACTTCATTGGTGGATGAGTCTCGTGTTTATGGTAGAGATGATGAAAAAGAAGCAATAATGAAGTTGTTGCATCCAGAAAATTCAACTGAAAATCAGATAGATGTGATTCCAATAGTGGGTATGGGCGGGGTTGGTAAAACCACCCTTGCCCAATTGATCTACAATGACAAGAGAGTGGAGGAATGGTTTGATCTCAAAACATGGGTGTGTGTTTCTGAGGAATTTGATGCTCTCAGGGTAACCAAAACTATTCTAGAGGAGATCACTTCTAGCTGTGATAGCAGTCAGACCTTAAATCAGCTTCAACTTAAACTAAAGGACAAGCTGTTGGGGAAGAAGTTTCTATTTGTTTTGGACGATGTTTGGAACGAGAAATATGTTGACTGGGAAGAGCTGAGAAGCCCTTTCACTTCTGGGGCACAAAACAGCAAGATCATTGTAACAACACGAAATGAAAGTGTTGCATCCATTGTGAGGACTGTTCCAACTTATCATCTTGATGTCTTATCTGATGATGATTGTTGGATGTTATTTGCAAAACATGCATTTGTTAATACAAGCCCAAGCATGCATCCACATTTGAAGGTAATTGGTGAAGCAATTGTCAAAAGATGCAAAGGCCTGCCTCTAGCAGCAAAAGCACTTGGAGGTCTTCTGCGTTGTGAATTGGACGCTGATGAATGGAATAAAATATTAAATAACAATTTATGGGACGTAACAGATGATATTCTTCCACCACTACAATTAAGTTATTATTATCTTCCTTCACATTTGAAGCGTTGCTTTGCATATTGTTCACTTTTTCCTAAAGATTATGAGTTCAGAAAGGAAGAACTCATTCGATTATGGATGGCTGAAGGACTTTTGCAGTCTTCTAAAGGAAATGGCAATGCGGAAGAACGAGGTAAAGAGTACTTCAAAGATTTAACATTGAGGTCATTTTTCCAACAATCAAGAGGGGATAAAGGTTGTTTTGTCATGCATGACCTAATTAGTGATTTAGCTAAATCTATATCTGGAGAATTTTTTTGCAGATTGGAAGGTAGTGGTGGTTCATCTGAAATAACTAGAAAGACTCGTCATTTGTCCAATGTCCAAGAAAAATATGATGTGCTTAAGAAATTTGAGACATTATCCAAAGCAAAAAGTTTGCGAACATTCCTAACTTTAGAATCATCTACATACTGTTATGTTACAAGTCAGATAATGCATCATTTGATGGTTAAATTTAAATGCTTACGAGTATTTTCTTTATCTAAATATGATAATATCAATGAGTTGCCTGAAGAAATTGGTAATTTGAAACATTTGCGATATGTAAATCTCTCTGAAACTTCAGTTAAATGTTTGCCAAACTCTTTGAGTACATTGTACCATTTGCAAACATTAATATTGTTTAGATGCCTTCGCCTTGTTGAGTTGCCCAAAGATATGAGAAAATTGATCAACTTGCAACATCTCAATATTCGGGAAACAAAGCTAGCTATGATGCCACAAGGAATGGACAAATTGAATGATCTTCGGACGTTAACGGATTTTGTTTTAGGTAAGCAAAATGGTTCAAGCATTAATGAGGTGGGAAAGCTCCAGCATCTATGTGGAAGACTTGCCATTTCAGGTTTGCAAAATGTTATCTGTGCAAGGGATGCCAAAGATGCGAGTTTGAAGGATAAGACGAACCTTAAGGAGTTGGAGTTGAAGTGGAGTAAGGACAATGATATTGTTGATGATTCAAAGCATGATAGAGAAGTACTTGAACAACTGGAGCCTCATACAAACTTGGAGCATCTTGTCATTAATTTTTACCTGGGTACTAGATTTCCGGAATGGGTGGGGCATTCTTCATTCTCAAATGTAGTATCTATGGAGTTAAGCAATTGTAAATATTGCTTCTTCTTGCCACCCCTTGGGCAATTATTATCTTTGAAATGTCTCTCAATTAAAGGATTTGCGGGAGTCATGACAGTTGGTGATGAGTTCTATGGGCACTATGATGCTTCAAGGAAACCCTTTGGATATCTTGAAATTCTAAGCTTTGAGGATATGCCAGAGTGGGAAGAATGGTTTTGTTGGAGAGATGAAGCTTTCTTTCTTCTGCAAGAGCTAAGCATAAGAAATTGTCCCAAGCTAACCAAGTCTTTGCCCAAGCACCTCCCATCTTTAACCAAACTTGTGATTGAAAATTGTGGGAAGCTTGGAGGGTTGCTTCCAAGGGCACCAAGCATCTGCCAACTTGAGTTAGAGAGATGTGATGCATTGCAATTGGAACCATTGCCTTGTGGACTTCGAAAGTTGCGAATTTGCAATTTGAATATCAATGATTCCATATTGAAGAAGATGATGCAACACTGCACTCATCTTGAAAAGTTAACTATGTTGTATTGTTCTAATCTGAGATCCCTTCCTGAAGCTAGTCTGTCTTTCACGCTGAAGAAATTGAAAATAGACCGTTGTTGTGTCTTGGATTATTCCAAAATCCTCTTGTATACATCCCTAGAATCATTGGAGATAGAAGGCGTGAGGTGTCATCCATTAGAATCTTTTCCATTGGGATCATTCCCTATGCTAAAACGTGTTTGTATTAGGGAATGTGAAGAATTGAAGTGGATTGGTGGATTAGAAGGGCCTCACCACCAGCATCTCGCATGTCTCAATACTTTGGAGATAAGGTCTTGCCCTAATTTGATATCTTTTCAAATTGAGGGATTATCTGCCGCCAATTTAACGAGACTTGTGCTTGACTCATGCATAAACTTAAAGTCATTGCCAGAGCATATGCATTCCCTGTTCCCATCCCTTAAATATTTGGGAGTAAACCATTGTCCAGAAATAGAGTCATTTCCTAGAGAGGGTTTGCCCTCCAAATTAAAAGATTTTTCTATCTCAGGAAGTGATAAGTTGATTGTGGGCATGATGAGAAGGGAATGGAGTTTGCAAGCACTCACTTCACTTACAAGCTTCTCAATCTACAGTGCAAGAGAGATAGAGTCTTTTCCGGATGAACATCTGTTGCCCTCTTCTCTTACTAGTCTTAATATATGGGATCTTTCAAATCTTAAGCTTTTGAATGGCAAGGGCTTTCAACACCTTACCTCTCTTCACAAATTGCTTATCGCCAGATGTCTAAGACTCCAATCCATGCCGGCAAATAAGCTCCCTGACTCTCTTTATCGTCTAGAGATTCACAATTGTCCTTTGCTGAGAAAACATTGCGAAAAGGAGAAAGGTAAAGATTGGCCCAACATATCCCACATCCCTGTCATTTGGATTGGCGATGAAGTCATTCTATAGCAATACTCAGGTACTCCTCCATTCTCTCTTTATTGACTTTTTTTTTTTTAAATACTGCTTGTCTTTGCTTTTTGCATAGTTTAGCTGTGAATTTTGTAGTTGTCACTAAGGTGCAGTATTTCTTTATTTTTGTATACCAAAATTCTTATGTATTTACTTGATTGCTCTTCAAAAAACTTACCTGTTGAGTAGTCTGTTTTGGGTCTCACAACAACTTGGGTTTACTGTCATTGGTAGAACTAATGGAATATTACAAATGATTTTGTTGTATCCATTTCAACCATAGTTAATGTAAATATCAAATGCTTTTAGATGGAATTAGATTTACAACTGATGTTAATTTATGGCAACTTGTTTTACAGCCAACCAGCATCCTACTTCTGAGTAACTTTGCCATCCAAATGACTTTCTTCTTCCATGAGTTGCCTTAGCTGTTAGCCTGGAGCTACAAGAGCCCATTTCTCAATCCCAGAATTATCTGCATGACAGTTTTTGATGGTTCAACAACTTTGCCCAAGCTCTGCATACTTTAATTCAGAGGGATTTTTCTGGAGGAGAGACACTGATATGCAAGGATTTGAAATCACTAAAGAAAAGCTCCTCTTGTACAGTATGAAATCAGTGACTACCTTATTTTCTAGTTCATACCAAAAGCCCTGTCTTCATTTACATGATTCATTCATCTCAAGGACTACTCAAACAACTTGGACAGCTGCTTCTGTTGAAAGATCTCTCCATTTGAGGGTTTTCCTGAGTAGTAACTATGGATCCTTACTTTCAAGGGTATGTTCTTTTAGCAACTAAGCCATCTAGATTCCGTAAAACTTTATACTGCATTTGGAAATTTACATTTGAGGAGATGGATTTGGATTCAAATATAGTAGAAATTATGTGGTAATACTCGTGAATATATGAGTTATATAATTACTCGCAAATATATGGATTTATAGAATGACTCGAGTAACGAATTTAAAATACCTAGATACCAAAGTGAATTCCAAATGGATCCTTTAATTATCTCTTAAATGTAATGACTAGAGTCATCCTCACAAAAAATGACAAACAATCAAATTCAAATTCACCTGAAATACTAGTTTCAAACTGACAAAGCAGTAAGTCTATGCTTCTTTGGTTTCCTTTATGAAGATGTGCTTTGTTTGGTACCATTAGACTCACAGCTAGTCCCAAGTTGTGTCTCATCACATTCTTAAGACTTCACATATATTCTATCTAGTATATTCTTCTCTTGGTCTTGCACTAAACAAACTACCAGGCTACAACAAATCAAATGAAGGTATCTTGTGCTACTAACTTATTAGTATTATTATTATTATCAAATTTGTGAAGGTCCTTTTGAAAGAAATTTCATGCTAGTTTGAAGTTGAAAAGCAAAGGCAACTAGGTTAATCCATATTGCATTAGTGTATTGTTTACAATTATCAGACAGATTTTGTAGCCTGTATCAATACTTTTGTGGTTGCACTACTGAGGTCAAGCACTACAAAGGCCTAATATTGATGCTTCTTTAGTTAGTGGATTGTGTTTTCTGGGATACAAAGTAGACCTGCAACTAGTGATATTAAATTGTGGTGCCTTCTGTTCCGGGCTGCCAGTTACTATTTGAGATCCTCATTACTTGCTTCCTGTTACTTCTGAAACTCTGTTGCAAATTTGAGTTGATTATTTTTGCTTAGGGTTTTCTTTTAGTCTGGGATATTTTTGGTTAGTTGAATATGTGTTCTTTCCTCCTATTTTACATCCTTTTAACTGCAAAGTGTGTATTGAGTCTTTATGATTATTGCAGTAGGAGATCGAGGTTGGAAGAGAATGAAGAACTCCATTCAAATCAGAGTTTCTACATTGATTGTGAAGATGAGGATGATGATGTGAAAGTGTTTAACCGATTTGAAGAAGAAGATGATGAAAATGAATCTGTTGCTTCTGATTCTTCAGTTGAAAAACCAGCAGCATAACAAACCCAATTCTGACAACTCTTCATGGCCTCAAAGTTATAGGTTTTTCTCTTTTCATGTTTTTACATGATTGTGCTCTGTTTTTCTCTGCTTTGTTCTGTTAACTTTGGTAATTTAAGTGTCATAGTCATAGCAATCTGGATTGTTTTTTTTTTTTCCCTAAGATTGTTTTAGTCAATTAACAGGAACCAAAATATAGGAACTGCAAGTAATGTCAATATTTTCTTTTCTCCTTTTGAGATACAGATGTTTATTAGTATCATTACTTTGATTTGATGAGAATTGTTTGTGTATTTGGTATAAGAGATGGTATATAGAAGAGTGTCAAAATAATCAAGGAGAATATGGATAGATTTAAGAAGATTTTTAGAAAGGGAAAGAAAGTGCTTAAACCATGACTGACCCACTCATGATTATGATTGTGATTGCGGATTGCGGATGAATGTTGTGTAAAAGTTTGTATTGATGCTTCTCTATGACACTTTGGCCTACAAATCCTTCTCCAATTTTTGAATTATGCCACCCGTTGATATTGGGAATATGAATATGGGGTCCTAATATAAATGAACTATTTAAGTTGGTTGATGATTTGATTATTAAACTAAAATGTGCAACAAAAAGTAGCTTTCTCAATTTGAATTACTCAATTTTTCTTCATTCTGCTACTGGAACTTTCAAATTATAATTTCTTCAAGCATACAAATAGTCACCTCCTATCCCATCAAGGACACAATCTGTAAAAGTAGACAACAGAACATCCAATGTCTCCCATGATCTTCCAATGGTGCAAACTTTTGCTAAATGGTTAGTTTACTGGCCATTCCCCAAATTTTATCCACTCATGTCTACAATCTGTCTTACAAAATTTGTAACATGCTGCAAATTTTATTTTCCTGTCTGTCAATGTGACTGAAAGACTGTTTTCTTGTCTTAGCAACTTTGATTTAGTCATAAATCCTTCTAAAATGATTGCTTATATTAAGATTTTGGCTCCTTTGACCAAAACCAGATCATGAAAAAATAGATGACCACGGTGCTTCGGGATGTCTACTTTAATTTAGCTTTTCTATTCACTTTGTTTAATCCTTAATTGTAAGTAACTGTGGTAAATTGAACTTGACTATATGAAAACATAACTGTGGTAAATTGAACTTGACTATATGAAAACATCTTTTGAATTAAATTAATGAAAATTATCGATCTTGCAATAGACTAAAAGGCATTTAAATTTGCATCATCCAATTCAAACCTTACTCTTTTGTTGGCCTTTCATAAAAAGGGAGCATATCATCACAACTCTCAACTAAAACTAGCAGTCACATGTTATCACCATCACCCCTCCACACATGGCTTGAAGTAGAACTCAGCCTTGTCTGCTACATCCTTTATCTTTTGCTATGATAGTTTCTATTTTATCCCTCTTTCAGCTTATGTGGCTTGCTTAGATAATTTTGTATGCTTACACAATCAATATTGGTTAAAAACAGCTAAATCTTACATTCACTTAAATCTGAAACCAGATTCGAGAAATGCAATCCAAATTAATTAGTTGCATTCCTTAGTCTTTTCCTTTTGGATTTATGTAGGGATTATTGTGATGTGTGGACCTTGAATCCCTTCTACCCTATATTCTGCTAAGGAAGGAGGATTGTTGGGGCTTGTAATATTATTCACATTTGCGGTGCTTCCTTCTTCACTGGACTGCTCTTGCACCAATGCCTGGATGGCTGGATGGTGAACCTGCACGTGAAACTTACCCTGACATTGGAAAAAGCTGCATTTGGTACCGTGGGTAGTATTGCACCTTCTTTTAGTCTGAAACTTCATTTGGTTAGTATTTTTGTTAATTATTTCTATTATTTAATTTTTACTTTTTAAAAATTTGTTATAGAATGAAAGCAATTAATAGTAGAAAGTAGTAAAAACATAACTAATTAAAACGTGATATAAATTCTAACATAGTTTTTTGATATAGGTAAAATCATGCATTTTGTTTTCAAAACTAATAATTTTTAATATTTTAGAACTATTGTTTACTTTTTTTATCTAAATGTGTTTACTTATAATATGTTGGTTTGGAAAGCAAAAGCAACAACAGCATCCTTTTTTTTTTCTTTTTTTTTTCTCAATCAAATTTTACTCTAAAATGCTTTAAGCAGTCTTCTCTATGTTAATTTGGCTGGTGACATGAGAAAATATAAGCTAAGGTTCTAACAGTGGTCCTCTTACAGGTCCATGGGGTCCTACATTTTTGCTTTGCTTTCCTTCTGCTTTAACCTCTGTCTCTAAATAATTTGTTCATCACTGAAGGAATCTACTGCTATAAGTTGGAGATTGGCCCAAGTTAACCAAATCTCTGCAGAAGCACCTCCGATCTTTAACCAAACATGAGATTAAAAATTGTGGGAAGCTTGTAGGCTTGCTTCCAAGGGCACCAAGCATTCGCCAACTTAATTTACAGAGATGTGATGGATGCAGTTGGTGCAATTGCCTTGTGGTGTTTGAGAGTTGCAATTTGAAGATTTGAATATCTATGATTCCATGTCAGAAATAATTCACTCATCTTGACAATTTAAAGTGTTTTTAACTCTGAGATCAGTAATAATTCTTTTCAATTTTCTTGATTGTTCATTGATTTTGATAATCCCTTCATTCCAGAAATAGGGATGTTAAGGTTGCTTCGTTTCCAGCAGATCAACAAAATGGTTCTTTGCTTGTAGTTTCTAAAGGAAGAGTGGGCAAGGCTTCACCCAAATCTCCACATATTCTTCTTGAAAATTGACAGCTTTGTAATCACATGAACAAGGCTTGGACAGGTCATTTTTCCTCAATTCCCTTTTGTTTTTAAGTTTTCATTGAGGTTTTAAACTACAGTACTATTACTTGGTAATTTCCTTTATTTTTCCCTATCAATGGCGGCTCTGAATTGCTTACTTATTTTTATTACTGTTTCTATGATCCTTTCAGAATTTCTCTAGTTCTTAAGTTGTATTGTCAGAGTTTGAAGATCTCAGTAACTTGCAGGACTTGGTGAAGGCTGGTAAAGGACATAGAACAAATCAAAGCAGGTAAGTGGCACCATGAAATTATTTTTTATTATTTATGAAAATTTTGAAGGTTCTTTCTTAAGAAGTTTCAGACTAGTTTGAAGTTCAACATGCTTTGTCAACTAGGTCAAGTCATTAGTGCACCGGTACAAAATTAGATCGAATTTTGTAACTTTTAACAAATCCTTATTTGACATGATTGCTCTACTGACACAGGCAAACGGTTGCAACTATGGCTAACATTGATGCTTTTCATTTTAGTGCTAGAAGTTATGTTTAATACAAGAGAAGACTCGTCCTTTATGGGAAACAAGAAGACCTGCAACTAATGATCTTCAATCATTGTGCATTGTATTACAGACTGGGTCAAACTGCTATTTGAGGTATATGCTTCATCACTTTAGTTACTTCTGAGAAATTTGTTGCAAATTTTAGCTAATATTCATCCAAAACGACTTTGTTCTGGAGCTGATTAAGAAGCTTTGTTTTTCAAGATTTTATACACTCTGAGAATTTCAAGCGGTCTACTACCAGCTACAGCTACAAGTTGAACCTCTTTGCTGCTAGTTCTGTATTCTTCATTTCGAAATTTGGCTTGTCAGATCAACATAGGAGATTATCTTACATTGTTCATAGACTTCATTTTGGCGAATGATAAATAGGGACATCGATTCCTCGGAATCACAACCACAACCTCCGGTTCGTTCCACGCAAGCCTTTTCAAACTCAACTTCGGAACCAGCATAATGAACGCAAGGGAAGACAATTGAAATTGAAATGCTCATCTGGTGTATATAGAGAAAGGCAAATCCTGTTCTGAGTTTTGTTTGTAGCTTTTTCATGTTCTCAAGGCATCCATCCAGTAGTTCCCTTTTTCTTTCATTGTTAATTGCCTGTAGAACTTTTGAATAAATTGTATTCCAAACTACTTGACACAGTTGGAGCTTTTAAGAATAATCTTATATTATCAGTTCTTTTCTTCCAAATCTGCATTTTGTTTTTCCATTTCTGATTGACAAAAAATATCAACTAACTAATTTTTCGTCAAAGTACCAACTGATATGGGCCATCAAGCTCATAAATTAATTTAATTACTGAAGTATGTTGGTATTTATTTTACCAAAAACAAGAATAATTTTATATACATATAGTTTTACAAACTGAGTGATAGACTTATTTTCAATATTTCACCATAGATGGGTATCCCAGCCATTCAGGAAAAGAAATCTTAATTAGCGAAAACTTACCAATTTTGACTTGGGTATTTAGCAAAGACTATATGAAAGAAAGACTAATCCATCCAACAAATTTCTTCTGGAAAATGGACTAACTTCTTATTGTTATCAATATATTGAAGGTCTTTTTTTATTGTTTTTTTCTGGAAATTTCATACTAGTCTGAAGTTGAGCCTGTGCTGCCAACTACTTTAATTAAGTCTTTATTGAACTGTTACAATCAGAATAAATTTGTACTTGTACAAATGCTTTTGTGATTGTTCTACTGATTTCAGGCACAACTGAGGCTAAATTGATTCTCTTCTGGTTAGGACTGAAAGTATGTTTCCATAATATAAGAGGAGACTTGTGCTTTTTGGGATGCAAAGTAGATCTGCAGCTAGTGATCTCCAATTGTTTGTGTTTCCTGCTCCAGGTTGCCGGTCGCTATTTTTGGCATAGATCATCAATTGCATCTTGTTGGCTTATGAGAACCATGCACCATGAAAATTTCAAGTGGTGATGAACTATCTGCAGCTACAGCTTGAGGTTTAATGTGTTTGCAACAAGTTCTGTTCATTCCTGCTGGGACTCTTGATTGTCATCAGGCTTGTTATGATGACATTTCCTTCCCTTATGTTCTTACGTGCATGATTCATATGTCTCTAAGACGGTAAATTCATAGCGAAGATTCTTCATTAACACAAAAAATTAAAAAAACTCGTTGATAAATGAATAATCGTTACAAGAATTTTGCTTATGCATTTCTTTTAAAGTCTAAAATCATTCGTAACCCCAAAAGTTCCATGAACTTCTTCAACGGTCCTGCTTGCTTTAATCATTACAGCAACTTTAACACACTATTTCTCCCTCTTCAATATCTTCATTCAGAACTACCTTATCGTCTTCGTCTTCCAAATATTCGTCTTTGATGAACAAACCCAGCTGATGCAGTGGATTCCCATGAGAAAGAGAGCCACCACTCAGAATCTTCAGTTCCTTGAAAATCTCCAGATTCAATTCAATCCCAGCTGTTTTTTCCATATTTTGCAATGCAATCCGAGCAGCTTCTCTTTCTCTTTCTCTTTCCCGTTGCTTTTTCAACTCAACCTCTGCCTTCACATTTGCTGCAGCTTCAGCAGCTCTGATCTGAGCTTCAATCTTTGCCTTTTCTCCACGCTGCCTTCTTTCCAACTTTTCCTTTTCCTGCTGCATCTTCACTGGATGAGCTTTGTCACCATGAACATGTAGCATCTTCAACTGAGCTTTGAAAATGGCGTCTGCGAAACGGCTCTTCAGCATTGCAGCACGGAGAGCTTTCTCATCTTCCAAAGTACTTACAGGCACAACTCCATTAAAATCTGTATCAGACTTGCTCATTTGTGATGTCAATTTGCATTTTTCCTGGCAATCCAATATAGGGCCACCAACAGCACTACACACTCTAAGATCTCCATCCAATGATCTTTCTGAACTCACAACCCTGGAAGATGCATGGTTTGAGTCACTTGGAAGGCTACATTGACACTTAATGCTGCCCCATGAACTGCATTTGCGGGCACCTTGGCTCAGTGGTGGCTTGACATTGGTACACCCATGAACATGCCCACCATTACTGGCGCCTTTTTGTGGGTCTTTTCTTGCCAACATTCCTACACAGTTCTGTGCCGGTTTAGGAAACTCAACCTCTGCTGCTCTTGCATTCAAAGGCACCTTCGAAGCCTTCCCTTGGAATTCACATGGTTTCAATTTCTTAGGGAAAAAGCTATTTCGGCATAGCTGTGTTTTAGAACAACTCTGTCTTGATCCATTACCATCTTTCAGTCGCATACTCAAAGTTTCCTCATCGCTAACCTTCAAATTTTCTTCATTCCAATTTTCTTTTAAAGATTTCCATGTCGGGTGAAGAAATCTTTTCAATTCTTCAGCCATTTTAAGAAAATTAGTACATGGATGTCTATAATGCATGGCATTATAAAACGCCAGTCTAATATCACCTTCAAAGTCTTCAACCCCAAGATAAGTATTCTTTGCTAGATTGGACTTAATGGTATCCAAATCCATAGGGTTTCTTACTGCTATAAAATAATCAGGAATATCTGAAGGAATATCAAAAAACCTACCAGTCGGATGTTTCTTCAGTGCTTCTAAGAGGGCAGAACATCGCTGAGTCATGAGACGGTTCATGACCATCTTTGGCTTCTTCTCGAAAGTGCCACTGCCATCAACCAACCCTTCTGGTCTACGCTTGTATGCATTAGATGATGTATTTTTTCTATCAAAACAAGTGCTCACACATTGCTGCCCGAACTCTGGACATTCAGGATTTGCTTCTATCCTTCTCCTCTGACAAGGGAACTTAATCTTCTCGGCACTACTTTCCGCAACAATCATATTTGTTAAGCTGCAAAACTCCACTTCTTGAATCAACAAAAAAACTTTCGATTGGATGACTCGAGAGAGGAGAGAAAAAAAATTTAATAAGGGTTTATCTAAATCTCATGTAATCCTATAACTTTGTGGTGTTTTTCTTTATTACTTGAAGCCTAAGTTTGCTTCAAACGGTAAGATTTTGAATTAAAACAATTAATGAAACTACTTAAGTAATTTTCTTCAGTCTGCCCTGATTAAAACTAGTTGATATATATATATAAGTTGAATTAAGGTCTTTTTAACTAAGTAAAAAATTTTCACGTCCATTAATTTCAAATAAAATCCCTATGAAATTACTATTAACTTATACTATTGTCTAATATTTTTAACTCATTGATTAGCAAAAAAAAAAACTTTTATCATGTATTAAATTTGTTCCAGCAGAATGATTTTTGAACAAATATTTCTAAATTGAAAGGTTAAAAAATTGACACTCAAACTTTGTAAAATTAAATTCATTTTTTAAAAAAAATTAAAAGGAAACGGTAATTAATTTTTCAGAGGTTATTTCAATTTGTAAGGAGAGGAACTTAGCCTTTTTTTTTTTTAATTAACATTTTAAGGATTAATTTTCACATGTGGAAACCAATTAAACATGTTTAATTTATGGTAACTTATAATTAATCATTAGAATAAAAAAACAGTGATAAGATTACCACTGAACTTAAAATTAGAATTCAAAAAGTAATTAGGAAAAATTGCAATTAGATATATAACTAATTTAACTAGAAATACGCTTGTTTATTTTAATTAGTCTTAAATTTTAATAACAAAACTCAAATAAACTATGTTTCTCCTATTGGCTTTCAACGAAAAAAATTCTATCCATAAACTATGTTTAACTCGTACAAAAAGAAAAAAAAAGAAAAAAGGATTTTTAGAATATTTGTGTTAATTCCAAATTATTTATATTTATATCTATATATTTATTCTATAAATAAGCTAAACGAAAAAAAGAAAATAAAAACCCATCTCTTGCACAGTTATTCAAATAAAAAAGAAAATCACAAATTAAAAATTAAGGAAATAGATAGATAATAAGTAAAATAAGTCAATATTTTAATTTAATTAAAAACTATTAATTGAGGATAAAATAGTTAATTTAATAAATTATCAAATAAATATGTGATTCATTATTTTCATTTTTGAAATTCGTCCATTTATACATATTATTTAAATAAATTAACCATTATATATAATTGAAATCAATATAAAATTAAGTAAAAGATTTAGCAGTAGTTAATGCACTTAACATGTTTTAGTTAAAAATTTGCTCATAATTTTTGTATGGATGAGATTTATATTCCATTGTCTAATATAGGAACCACTTGGATGATGTGGTTACATAGACCAATGCCAGTAGCTCACTTACGTTCTTTTCATCAATTATGATAGTAAAGCACCCAGAGAAGGCTTTTGAGACTCTAATCAGTTGACCTATTGTACTTTCCCTCTTACCAAACAAAAAGTTGGATAAAAAGATGACAAAGGGAAAAAAAAACAGAAAATCATCTCATTACCTATACTGCAAGTCTGAAAAATGTGGTTATAACATGCCAAAAAGAAAAAAAAAATTGTACAACAGATCCCAAAATCCTACTTTTCTCCATGCAGAAACAATGTCATGATTCTTCTTCATTAGCTTCAGCAGCAGCAATCTCAGAATCCAATTTGTTTATTAGCTGCTCACTTACATGTTTTGCTACAGATATCATGTCAAGAATAATACTTGGATCTAGGCGAGCACCACCTCGTTTTGTAAGTCCACAAATGTGCCCTTTCCGGTTAACTGAAATTGACACAGCTGAGCTCATTTGGGATTCCTCTTCTGAAGTAGCACCGACAATATAATTAATGCCTCCCCACCTGAAGAGCAGAATGCAAGAAAATAAAGAAAACTTTTTTGTTTGGTTGGTGTGAACAAAATCGATTTCACCCCTATCACTCTCACTTAGATTGTAGGTCGCTTATAGTAGGGAGAATGGAAAGGGAAAGGATCAAGACTTTTTTAATCTCATGGTTGAGATTCATAACAACATGTGCTATTTTGTAGCTCAATCATTGGATTAAAACTTTTTCTTCCTTTCCTCTTTCCTTACTGCCAACTAGAGTTAGAAGAACAGCAGAAGTGATTTACCTTTGGGATGCAGTATTGGTTAAAGCGGCCTTTGCAAACAACAGAGTCAAGTAATTAAGTTTTGTTTTTGAAAACCAGTACAATCACCATATGTATCATAGCAAACTAAGAAAAAAAGGCATTCAAAATGGTGAAGTACAAAAGGAGGTTCTTCGATTATTTTTATGGAAAAGGCTATTTTACGTCAAGCCTTCACTTAAATGTGAAGCCCTTGCGTCAACATGACAGAACTTGAGTATATGGCTCATGGAAATTTACATGACACTGTAAATTGATGCAAAAATGGACACCTTACCATGCCTGATACTTTAAAATTTAAATGCTCATCACAACTCAACCAAGACAGAGAGAGAAAATGCAAATTCAATCACTAAAATACCTTAATGGCAGCAGCAAGGGCATCTAGCAGATGCCCGTCTAAACTAATAACAAGACCGTCAATATAGAGATCCCAGCACACTTTTCCTTCCACAACCACCAGAGATGAGGGATCAATTCCAGCTCCTGGCATAAATGGATTAAGATAATTACATTCTCAAACTGAGGAAAGCAACAAAAGCTAAAACAGCAATGAATTACAGGATAGTGACCATCAGTGAGAATGTCTACCTGCTACACTTTTACCACCCAAAAGGCAACGTTGCAGAGCAACTGAGAGTTCTGTGGACAACTCCTCACCCCTCTACCCCGTCAGAAGTGGAATACAAGAATTTATCACATAAAAAGAAGTGAACAACGGATTATGAATAGCATGATGGAGGACTAAAGACAGACAAACCTTGATTATAATTACAGAGTAATGCGTATAAAAAGCAGAATGAAGAACATAAAAACTAGAACAGAGTTAGTTCCTTCCACAGCACAAATGCCCATTTACTTTTGACCAAAGACAAAAGGAAACTCACACATCCACACACCACAAGTGAGTTTCACAAGTCCAACCATCCAAGAAAAGGATAATGGCATTTAACCTGCAACTACTCCAAAAGGGCCTACAACTAGCCATTTACAACTCTTCATTAAAGATCATGTTCTCGGAGGAAGATAATTGATAAATGCATACATGGATGTAAGCATTCGTATCCTAAGACTTGAGAAATTATTCACTTCCAACTCAACCCATTATTACTTTCTATGTAAACAATTGCAACATTATCTTAACCAACATTAACAAAGAAATAAAATCAAGACACGAAAATATTCATCTGACTTCAACCAATTCAATCAACAAGGAAACTCAAACATCGGTGCCGCAGTAGGACTACAATCAACATATATAGTAATCTTTCCACTGTCAGGTTGCAATGCACTTGGTTTTCCAAGTTCAGCCGGTACGAGAAGAGATACAGTGACCATATTATTGATGCACCTAAGACAAGGAAACATTAAAAAAACTCCAAACGTCAGCAACCAGTTAAGAAAATACCTTGACCCTGGCAATAACATCAGTTGCACCAAACCTAACTCTTGCCGAACCATGTGCTTGTTATAATGCCCTTCAATGAAAAGTCATCTCAAAGAAAACAAAATAGAAGAAGATTCCATACCTGATGAATAACTCCAGTTTCAACATATATGGGTCGGTAAGTTAACCTCTTTCGACCATCGGAACGACGGTCTTGAGCAATTCCACCTTGTATGAAATGTTTTTCTCCAACAGAGCCCCATCATTTCTTTAAATGCACGAAAACAGTGGAATCCGATGTTAAGGAAATGACAATTTTTTCAAAGAAAAGCCAAAAGGAGCATTAATGAACTAAAACAATAAGTACTTTGAACTCACTGAGTTTCACGTCCACTGAGAATAGTCGATCGAAATTGGGTTCTTTTCTAAGAAAACAAATTGCGAAATAAGAGAGTGCTGAGAATAAAAGGAAAAACAAGAAAGCCTATTCGAAAAGCAAAGAAAGCAAAATTTGGTAAAAAAATATGGAAGTAGGTGAAGGAATAAGAGAAGAATAAGTTGAGATCCTTCTAGAAAGAAGTTGAAGATTTAATGTAGGGTATTTTTGGTGTTTGCATCTTTTAACGCACACTTGCATTATCATTTTAAATATTGGTGTTTGCATTCAGGTTGCAGTAAATGTATTATGAGAATTTTTATACTTGCATAAGTATTGGTATTTTTGAAATAAAATTTTGTAGTTGTAGGAAGCATTTGCATTATTAGAAATCCATTGAATTTGCAAATTTATATTTATATTTTTGGGTCATCCGTATTAATTATGAACATTGATATTTGCATTCATAAGAAACATTTGCATCATGAAAAGGGAATTTATATGTAATAAAAAATATTCATTATATCTTCTTTAGGTACATTTGTATCATGGAAAAGAAATCTGCATGTTGTATCATTGTATGGTCATCTACATGGGAAGAGCATTGGCATTTGTATCATGAAAAAGTTATTTACATTTGCATTGAGTATTTGCATCATGAAAAAGTTTCATCATGACATTGATTCTTACATCTACATAAAGACATTTGCATTGACATTATTTGTTAAGAATAGACATTTGTATTATGATTTCATTTGTCAACCTTCTAAATATTGAGAAAAAAAGGAAGGGAGAGAAAATGAAAATATTTTAAATTGTGGAAAAGTGAAAAAGATGTCTTCGAAAAAAGAGTTTGCATAAAAAAAAAAGAAAGGAAAAAAAAAACAAAAAGAGGGAAGAAAATCTATCATGGAAAGATAAGTGAAAAATAAGAAAAAGAGAAAATAATTTGACAAGAAGCAAAAATGTCAAAAAGAGTTTGGTTGAAAAAGGATTTGCAAAAGTGAAAAAAATTTTGAAAAAAGAAGAAAATAGTTTGACAA